TGTATTAGTATGTAAAAGTTGGAGTAGTAAAAATAAATAGTGAGAAATTTCAGGGTATCTTTATGTAAAATGGGGTATTTCAAAAAAATTAATTAGATTATAAATTTGATCCGGCAGCCTTTTTGGATCAGGTATTATGCCGATCAGTGTTAATAATAGCTTTAGGTTCAATCAATAACAAACAGTACTAAAATGATTATTAGTTAAACCGATAACCAATTACTATTAATTAGGATTTATAGAATACAATTTGTCAATTTGAAATCAGATTGATGTTATATGAATGAACCGAATACTTTTCTGCATCCCGATATAATATTTGAAACAATTAAGATCAATTAATTTACATGCTTATATTATTTGATTATAATATGAACCAGTAAATAAATAGTAATAGAATGTGTAACATTATAAATAGCAATCACTCTTTTTGATAAGCTTTTTATTTATTTTGGATCTTTTAATTATTGTTACAATTACTAGCTATTATTTATACAACCTTACTTGTTAATATTAATTGCTTCTATTAGGAAGTTGGGGATCGAATATTGTGTATTTATTAATATTAATTATTTTAATCTACTTCAATTAGCTGGTTACCTTTTGCTTCTTTTAAAAGCTTAATTGGTGATACGCGAATGAACCAGTGACGATCTGCATTTTTTGTAATACTAATACAATCAAAGCTCGTTAAATTCACGTATAATCATAAAATTTTTTCAGGAACCAATGCCAGTTACAGTATATTAAAATTCTATTCTATAATTTCATAATTATAATAAAATCTCGATAATCGATAAGTTGTAACTCTCTTATTTTTATTATATGCCATCATATAAAAAAATCTCACATGTATCGTGTAACAATCAAAATATGGTAGTAAATTCAATTTTTTCCCTTGTTAATATTAACCATTGCAAAAAATGGATTCAAGCTTTTAAATTAAGCGTAGAAATACAGATGATAGCTTTTGGTTAACAATAATTGGGAATTTTATGATAATTTTATCAAAGATCTTTATCTTTTCATAGAAAAAATTTGCTGTGCCAGATCTATGAATTTAACGAGCTTTGGGGCAAAAATTACCAATGGTCAACCTTTACACAAAAAATTGTATTATGTCACAGGATGATATTACTTTATGTATGAATAAAGTTATAAAAGTTGATCTCAAAAAATAATACTATCTAAAAAATTACCATGGTTTGTATGATGAATAAATACTTTTCTACAGGTTTGGGGGTCTCTCACGAATCGGCAATTAAGTTACTACTTTGAGGCTTATCTTGATCAAATTTTTTAAGAACAAACATGAATTCCTCATATTCGAAAAAGAATACAATAATATGATAAGGAACTAAGTGCACCTGATGATGCGTCTGATTGGATAAGAGCAGGTTATAACGGTTCTTTAGCTAATGTAGTTAACGAGGCTATTAAAAAACATGAAAAAATTCAATTGGTAACATCTGATAAAAGAAGTAATTCCAACGAAGGTTCTAAAAAAAATTCTGGTGAGAGTTTTGAAGGTAAAGGAGAATATGATGAAAAAAAAGTGAACATTAATAAATAGAATTTGGTTTTTAAATTTTAAAATCATTTTGAAAATAAACTAATTTGCAATTATTATAAATTAGAAATGAAATAAAATAAATTTGCATTCATTATAAATTTAAAAATAGAATAAAATGCAATTGGATACATGAGGCTTTTTGATAGAAACAAGGACAACGTTGAAAATATTGGGAAAAATTGAATTCGTTATTGTTTTCTCTACGCAAAGTGAGATCTAACCCAGAAACGTTCCATATAAAGAGTTACATATAAGGGTGGTATTAACTCAAAATCATGATTTTCGACAAAGGTCCCATATATGACTCATAGTTAGGATTGTCTTTGAACCACATGCAGTCCTAAATTTACCGGCCCTTATTATAGGATCAGTGGAACTTTCTTAATAAGGAAATTTTGATTGTAAAATATAAATAAATTTCGCACAACAGTTAATATTAATATTAATATTCAATAAAACGGATTTATCGAGTGGTTGGACATGCAACTTGGCATCTTTCGTTTTAATATCCGTGTATTAATGCCATTTTTCTTTATTTAATAATATTTTATATCCATATTTTTATTTATTTTTTATTTCATTCTTAATGATTTATTTAAATTAGTGGAACAAAAATAATTAAATTCTTTGTTATTGGTACGGTGCATGCCACTATAACCCATCAAATACTGCGTAAAATGTTTCAAATTCACAAATATTTTTGAATTTTTTTATATTACTTTCATTACAAAATTGATGTCAAAAAAATTTGAGGTAACGTGACATGGATTAAAGATATCGATCAAAATAAAAATATTATTAATTCATCTATTTCATCTATCACATTGTCTGGAATCCTTCTATGTGACTTA